CCCTGTGTCCCTGCTGACCCCATGTGTGTCCCGGAAAGGGGGGAAACGGGAGGGGAAAAGGGGAGGGGAAATGGGGAAAAGGGGAGGGGAAGTGGGGAAAAGGGGAGGGGAAATGGGAGAATGGGGAAAAAGTGGGGAAAAGGAGGGGAAAAGGAGGAAGTGGGGAAAAGGGGAAAATGGGAGGAGAAAGTGGGAGAAGGGGCAAAAGGGAAAAGGGGAGGAGAAGGTGGGAGAATGGGGGAAAGGGGAAGGGAAAGTGGAAAAATGGGGAAAAACAGGAGGGAAATAGGAAGAGAAAGTGGGGAAATGGGGAAATAGAGGAAGAAACTGGGAATATGGGGAAAAATGGGAGAAAACAGGAGGGGAAAGTGGGAAGATGGGGAAATGGGGGGGAAAATGGGAAAATGGGGGGGAAATGGGGGGGAAATGGGAGAAACTGAGAAAAGAGGGGAAAATAGGAGGAGAAACTGGGAGAACAGGGAGGAATGGGGGGAAGTGGGAGGAGAAGGTGGGGGTCTGGGGAGGGGTCTGAGGAGGGGTCTGCAGCCCCCCCCAGCCTGCCCTGTCCCCCTCCCCAGCCCTGCCGTGCCAGCTGCACCCCAGCCCCCTGAAGCGCTCGCTGCTGCCCGGCAGCCCCCAGCCCGGCCCGGGTGGCGACTGGGCGGGCTCGGGGGGTCCCGAGGAGCCCCCCGCCGCCCCCCCCCGCGGGCCCCCCCCGGCCTTCGGGGAGCAGCACGCCCCCCTGTCCCCCCAGAGCAGCGTGGCCTCGTCGGGCAGCGAGCACACCGAGGAGCCCGGCGGGCGCAACTCCTTCCAGGAGGACGGCAGCGGCATGAAGGGTGGGTGGGGGGCTCCGGGGGGCTTCGGGGGGCTCTGGGGGGGTTCGTCAGGGCTGCTGCCGGCTCACAGAGCCCCCTCTCCCCCCCAGACGTCCCCTCGTGGCTGAAGAGCCTGCGGCTGCACAAGTACGCGGCGCTGTTCGCGCAGATGAGCTACGAGGAGATGATGACGCTGACAGAGCATCACCTGGAGTCCCAGGTGGGCACGGGGGCACTGGGGGGCACTGGGAGGGAATGGGTGGCACTGGGAGGGACTGGGGAGCACTGGGAGGGACTGGGAGGGACTGGGGGGCACTGGGAGTGGAGTTCTGGGCACTGGGAGGGACTGGGGGGCACTGGGAGGGGCTAAAGGGGGGTCAGGACAGACCTGGGGGCACTGGTGCTGCTGCTCAAGAGCCTCGGTGGGCACGGGGGGCACTGGGAGGGACTGGGACTGGAGTTCTGGGCACTGGGAGGGACTGGGGGGCACTGGGAATGGAGTTCTGGGCACTGGGAGGGACTGGGGGGCACTGGGAATGGAGTTCTGGGCACTGGGAGGGACTGGGGGGCACTGGGAATGGAGATCTGGG